TTTTTTTTATTTTGAGACAGAGTCTCCCTAAGTTGCTTAGCACCTCACTGTGTTGCTCAGGTTGGCCTTGAACTTATGGTCCTTCTGCAAAAACCTCCTGAGCTCCTGCGATTACAGCCATGAGGTTCCAAACCTGGTTATTACTTATAAGAGACAATTTAGTGAGCTTCTTTGTGTAAGTGCCCTGGGCTGGGTGAATATCCAGGTATTGGTACTCCCATTCAACATGTTCATCTGTTATTCCCAAACTCAGCATCACTGAAAGAAGATACTAAACCTTAGTACCTTCAGAGCAAACTTCACGCACTAATAAACCTTAGGTCAAGTGGGACTTGATGAAAAAATTTTCAACTCTTCTCATATTCTGGGTATAAAATTGCGGTAACACTCTGGAGTAGGTTGGGAAATGAGTTATTACAGATAGTAAAATTACTGTCACATTATGTAGGTGATGAAAAGAAGAGTAGAGATTAAATGGAAAGAAAGAAAGAAAGAGACAAAATAGAAATGAATAATACAAACCAAGTTAAAAAGAAAAGATGGCTGGAGGAATTTGTGTTAGTAGCAGATAATGGTAGAGGGGAAAGTGGGACTAAGAGGAGCAAGTGTACATATGACCTAGGAAAACAAAAATAGAATGGTTTCCAGTTAATCTTTAAAACATTACAAGAATACAATCAAATATTGATGAGGGTGTAATATTGATAAAAGATGAACATGTATTGATTCAAAATAAAAAGTAGCATGTAAGATCAAAATTGATATTAGTGCTGTATGTAACAATCCAGGCCAAAGTGGAAAAATTTCTTATTGAGTCTTGATTGTTTGGATTTCACCAGAATTGGAGACCTTTAGAAAATGCCCACCGATCTTCAGCTTTACATCTATGTTTCTCTGGGTATGGCAGTACTGGAAAAAGAACTGGGAGGTTCATCTTCCAAGACCTCCACCAACTTCTGGGTGGAAGGGCCCAGTGCTGACTGAGACAGACGGTGGAGCTTCCAGAGGCTCTTGACTACGCTGGCCTCTCAGGTGCTGGCCATCACGCAGGTGGGCAAGAGTTTCCTGATCTTGTGCAGTCAGCAAGCACCTAACCTGGTCATCCAGTCCAGCCACAGGATAACTTCAGCCCTCAGCACAGAGTTCCGAGATGGGCGTGGCTCTTGGAGCTGCCTATGCCCACTCCTGTCTCTGTTGCATAGGGTTGCTTGGCAACCTTTCTTCATTTATTAGCTGCTACCTGAGTATTGAGTGGCTCAGCCACAACTAGGTACCTGGTGGGACTAGGTTGTTTATTCTGTGACTGAAAAAAAAGTCTTGAAAAGCCCCAGAATACAAGGCTGGGGCCTGTGAGGCCTGGTCATGGCCTCTAAGTTAGTCAGATCCAAGAGGTCATTCATGAGGAGCCTGTGGAAAATGGGCTTTCTCTATAAAGCGAACACGAGACTCCACAGAGCGGCGTCAGAGGGAGATGTAGACAAAGTGAACCACATCTTGACTCATGGAGAAGCTGGCGTTGACGACCGGGATAAAAAAAACAGGTAATAATGTCCAGAGGACTAGGCGTCCTAGGGACAGGGTGCTGACCAGGGAAGGTGGGGCCAGTAAGGCAGAAGGCTCCACCTTTCCCACTGGGCCCAGGGCGGGTGGAGGGAAAGGAGGCCAACTCTCCTTTCACCAGGTGCTTGACTTGCCTGTGCTCACAGGCTCCTCAACACCTGGGATCTATAGACCTTGGAGACATCTCCCATCTAGGAGGTCTTATTGAGCACCCAAACAAAACAGTTAGCCTGCTTCCCAGCCACTTAAAATTCATCCTATAAAACGCTTGACTGACTATTTAAAAGTGATTTAAATCACAAAATTTTGTACCAGCACTTTGTTTTTTTAAAAAAATGTTATACATTGTAGAAAAGTGCAGCATGAGACAAAACGTTTCCCATAATATAGCAACTTAAGGGCAAAAATAATTCTTTGAACACAATCTGGAATCCATTTGCATCAGTGTAGACCTATGTATATATGTTCTCTACTTAGGACCCTTACAAGGACATTTTGAAATGGCAAGATGGCTCCTGTCTCTCTTGCGCAGGGTTGCTTGGTAACCATTCTTCATTTGTTAGCTGCTACCTGAGTATTGAGTGGTAGCAGTGTTTTGTTTCTAATGTTATTTCACACTAGCATATTTAGGGGTGCCAATTTCAGTCTTCAAAGGATCTTCCTTATTTCTTGGGTGGTCCACTTGTCCCCATCCATCAACTTCTGAAGGCTCACTCAGTGTGGTTTTAAGCAGCCAACCATCTTCATAACCAGATTTGCCGAGAAGTCTGGATTTCCTGCAAGCTTTGCACTAATTGCAGGTACTTCCCCTGAGAGAGGATAGCAGTCACTGGGAGATTTCACACTTAATGAAACTGCAAACACATCATGCTTTTTTGTCGCGCCTCCAGTTCTGTTTCCAGTACTGCCTTTACCACCTTATATCCCAGACGTCCACCTATCTGGTTGGAGGAGTCCAGGGTTGATTGGAGAACAGGTGGCAGGACTTTCAGGAACCATTGGCCACACTGGCCACACCTATACTGCTGTTTTGCGCAGGTGGATGGGGTTTCCTGATCATGCACAGTCAGCACGCTGCTGGACTGGCAGCCTGGATGATCATGAGTGGAGGAGGATCACTGAAGATATCTACAGTGACTTCTTTTAGGCTTGCTGTAAATCCTGAGGTTCTCTTGGGAAACAACTGAGCTTTTCAAGACCTGCCTGAATGTCATTGATTTCTGGTCCATCATGATGTATTATATCTTGGAGCTATTCATAGTGTTTACAGGAGAAAACTCCTCTCCAGAGGGCTTGAGTTACTTTGAGAGCTCAGATTGAGCATGCGCAGTGTCACTGTCCTTTAGGCTCTGCAAGCTCACTTGTGTTTAGCAGGGTTGTTTGTGAATGACTATTCTGCCCTTGAAGGACACCAGATCTTGGAGCTGCGGAAGACTAGGTTGGCTCACCTCTTGGATTCAATGGGTGGTGAAAAGTGCTCTATGATCTCCTAATGAATCTTCTTACTTTCCCAGGACCCCTCTCCATTATGCTTGTGCTTTTGGACATTGGGATATGGTGGCCCTCTTAATAGAGAAGAAATGCAATCTTGAACTTTTGGATAATGACTACAACACACCTCTGATTAAGGTACACAGTTAGTAGCCTAGGGTTTCTGCAGGAGATGGATTTGATTGAAATGCATAAATAAAAGGGGCTTAATATAATTTAAATATAACTAATTTGCGGACCCTATAAAATGTTTGGCTTGCATTTCTTGTTATCTATGATACATTTCTTGGTACAATACCAACAGGCAGCAGAACACCAGCATGAGCGCTGTGTAAATCTTCTTCTCGATAATGGCGCCAATCCAAATGTTCAGGACAAGGATGGTTACTCTCCTCTCCACAGAGCTGTCTTTTCTAGGAACACAGCAATGGCAGAAAAGCTGCTTTCACACAATGCAAATATGGAATTCCAAAACAAGGTACACATCACCCAATTTTATTTCCAAATTATTTGAAATACTTTTGTTTTCATAATGACATATGTTGGGTTTATTTCCATATTAAGAAGCTGAAGCACTCAGTGCAGCAAAGTGTGTTGAAATGAATGGACTTCTGAGACTTCACTTCAAATACCGATACTTTAAAAGTATTAGAAGGTACAGCTTTCGGGTATGCACCAATGGCAAATATTTGTAAAAATACTAAATTTTTAAGTTAAAACATTTCCTGTGTCCAAATTATTTTTTTGCACCAAGACCTTTTTCTAAATAGTGTAAAAGAAAACAGAGAAGCAAATTTTGCCCTGGAAATGGGGTTTATCTTAAAACTCAAACAAAACAAAGCATTTTACAATAAATGGTGATCTTTTTGCCATGGGAAAAGTTAAATGAAAGTTAAATATCTCTCTGTGGTAAGGCTTGAGCAGGAAATGTGGAAAAGCAGATGATTTTCCAATGAGGAAATTTAGATAATTAAGGAAAAAATACCAAGAAGAGTTTAGTTTTTGTAATTTTTCTCAGTTTCTGTGTATGGATGAGGTGCTATTCGATCTGGGGAACAACAATACTTAATTTAGGGAAGGAAGATGCAGAGTTGCAAACGTGTTTAAAATGCAGTTTTAGGCAGGTTCTGAGGAAACCATGTTGGCAGTGACTAGGCAGTGATTATGGGGAAGCTAGTGGGGAGAACAAATTATTAACTGATAGATGATGTTTTTCTGCCTGAAACAACCAATTAGATAAGAGTCAAACCATGCTGTCAAACCTACACTTATCTTATTAAAATGTGGGAGCTAAGGAGCTTCCATATGAAACCAAGCTGCATTTTGAATTTACTGGTCCTTATTCTGCCACTGTCTAGGCAAATTACATGGAGTATTGTTAAATCACTCTCTCTCTCTCTTGCCTGTTTATTTTTTTATTTTTTGGCAACTCTCCAAATTGTAAAGGGAATTGTTCCTGTAAATGAGAGATGAGATGAAGAGATGATTGTCTGGTCTTCTAGTTCTCTGCTCCAATGGTATCACAAAGTGACCTGGGGAAGATTTAAATATTGTCAAACCCAGGCTTTTCCCTGGAGGTTTATATTCACTAAATCCATAGGCCCTGGACATGGATATTTACAATATTTCCTGAGATTCTGACCCAACTCCTGGAAAAAAAAAATCACTAAATAGAGAGTGTAATATACAAAATCCCAGATCCTCAAAACTGAAGAAATAACTGGGAGAATTGGAGTTTGACTAGGTACAACTTCCTTCCAATCTCTCCTTTCTGACCAAATTAGTTTAACTTACATTTGTGGTTTTTGTTTGTTTGTTTGTTTGTTTGTTTTTTCTATTTCCATGGCTGGGAATTTAAAAGAAGTATGATTAGTGATATATTTTTGGCTTACAGAATACAACATTTTTCCTTTCAACAAACATTAATCAACTACTATCATTGGAAAGGTGATTAGAAATTTTCTTATGGCTAGTCTTTCAATAAGCAGAGACCAACCTTTTAAGGATTTTATGTCTCTGTTATCATTCCGATCATTGGGTCAACAAAACCTGACTTGAGAAATGATTTTCTTGGTTAGGATCGGCAAATGTTGAAGATTTTTAGCAGAGGTTGGATGCTACTCTATATCATTAGGTCTATTTTGTTTCTGGGCCTGACGTAATCAGCCTAGCAGTTTTAAAAACTGAAAACTATGTAGTAAGAACATCACGGGGGCTCCTCTTAATAATTTAGTGTCAGCATTCCTATGCATCTAAATTCTTATTTAAAGAATCATCTGGGAGAACAGTGAACAAATGGAGTATGTGTTTGTAGTTGGTAGAAAAAATATTAAAATGAAGATGTTACGAAATTTTTGTATTATATTTTGAGGTCTCATTTGTAGGTGAAAAATGATATTAAAGAAAGGAAAGATTTTACATGCAAACACTTGCTTTGAACATGACCACTTGTATACTCACAGTAAAGATAAAATCAAGAGCTGCAGACTAAATGTAACACACAGATATATTTAATTTGCCTTCATTCATTGAGTCACCATTTAAAATGCAGGTGATTTAGTGTCTTTCATGATGTTAAATTTAATCCATGTAGGTCAATGTAAAACTTTTGTTGACTCACAAAATTTTTGAATTAATTAATAACTTTTAATTGCAATTAAAATAGGAGCAGAGTAAAAGGAAATTTAAAAAGTAGATGTGGACTATGATAGTAATGATAATTATAACCCAGGATTATCATTATAAGTGAGCATATATTTTGTGTTGAGCTTTCTAACAGCTAATACAAACAGTTTTCATTGTATAATATCAGCAAATTCAGGGAACAATTAAGAATGAAATCAAAGGTCATTTTGAGCCTCTTTTAATTCAAAACCCATTTCCTTAGAAATCTATTGGAGCAGGAGTGCCTGACATTGGTATTTGGGATCCTGACACCATAGATAGAATCACATGGATTTATACAACATGAAGGAAGCTTTCTCCTCATTGGAAAACTCTCAAGAGTTGTCTCCTAGCAACTCTTAATTACTCAAATGTAACTGTTTTATACAAAAAAATGTTCAAATTGGTATTAATGTTGGCAAAGGACTTCTTTTAACATCGGACATGTAATGAACAGTTTCATAATATTTCTCTAACAAGGAATCTTTATGATGAAGCTTGGTATTTATGGAAAAGTAGATATTCTTTGGAATAGATGGATAATCCACACTCTAAAAAAGAAAATTTAGCACATTAATTCAACAAAAGTACCCAAATCATTTACCTTTAGGTTTTGGGGTTTGGGGTTTTTGAGATAAAAGATCTAGTCCCTGTCCTCAAGAAGTTCTTGGTTTAGAAGGGAGCTGCAACCACACAACATCAATAAACCAGGACAAATGCTATGATGGAGACCAAGATTTCTGGAACCCATTAGGTCTTTTATAAGTTTTCTGCTTCAGTTGAGAAATTTTATGAATAAATTGTTTTGTTTTTTCCTAGGATGGCCACACGCCACTTCTACTTGCTTTGAAGCACAACAGACAACGAGTAGCAGCATTGTTAATTCGCAAAAAAGCAAATATACATGTAGTTGACAAGGAGAAAAGGTATAGTAGTAATATTTTTCAAAGTTTAATGGAATGATAATAATAATTCAATTAAAAATATTAAATTAATGGGAAGAAGAATATTGACTTACAATTATTGGGATAAAGTGAAATATAGGAATACATATCACCTTTTAGAAAAGTAATTATATGGGCTAATACAAATAACATTATATAGTATGATAAGATTCCATTATAATATTTGTTGATATTTGTCATGTGTAAACTGATTTGATTTGTCACATTATCAACCCTTTAGCCAAGGGTATTTCACATTAATTTTACAAAGTATTGGCTTTTTGTTTACTTTTGCATTCAATTCTGAATTGCTTAACCTTTTATCATATTTAAACTTCTGCATCTTATGTATGTTTCCTTTTACAATGCTCTATTGATCATAAGTAGATGTTGAAAGCCATTTACTTTTGGATGATCCTTTGCTTAAACTGCTTTTTGAAGAAAATTCATTTTAGGTTATCTCTAGGTGAGTATTAATTGCTATTGGTAGATTATTTTTAATTCCCCCCTTTTCATTTCTAACATACTTTGATGGCTATATTTTTAATTGACTCGAGCAAAGGGAAGAAAAGCAGCTTTAATGGGATAAACATTTGCTAATAAATGTAAGTCATAGATGGGTGAACAAAAGACAAGTGATAGGCTTTAGATCCAAACATGACTGTTTTGCATTCCTTCCTTTGCTAATTGCAAGGTGTGTCACCTTAGAAACATTACTCATCACTAAATATGTTTCCTGAAAATGAAGATAATATATACTTGAAGGTGGTTAGAAAATTACGTATATTGCAGAGATTTCAGTGCCTACCAAATGCCCATGATTATCATTACCTGAAACTGCAATGACTATAATTATCATCATTCTTATTCCTATTGTTTTAAGCTTGTAAACAGCCTTTTCTTATTTGACTTTGAAGTGAATGAGAGTTATAACATGTTACATTAGACTAGGGTAAAAATGGATCATTCTTCCCTTCAATCTTTACCTATTTCAGCCAAATGACCTCATCATAGTTGTGGTCCATCAAAGTACATTAAATGTGCAACTTCTGTTATGTAATACCCAATTGGGATAAGAGGTTTCCTGCTTGTGTTTCTCTATTTGATGTGGAGGTAATATGCAAAGATGAACACTTGGGTGTTAGTATATATAAAGGTTATTTGTACACAATCAAGAACTTAAATTGGTAAAAAGATTAGTTGTTTAAATGATTTTATTAAAGACAATTCATCATTTAAAGTACCTAAGGGTGAAGTTATCTCTCTGTTATTTTAGAACAGCCCTCATACTTGCCACAAAATATGATGCAAAATGTATAGTTGAGCTTCTTCTTCAAGAAGGTATTGATGCCTTTGCTGAAGATCAGTCTGGAAAGAACGCATTATCTCACGCTATTGCTAGTGGTTTCAATGTGTAAGTGTTTACATTAAAATAATAATGATTCAATGGAGGTTCAAAATAATTACAACTAATGCATCTTACACACCAATCTGATTTCATAGTTCAGGTATGTTTGGAATGCAGTCAAGACCCCTGCAAAAATCAAGACTCCTTAGAAGGCGCAATGTATGTAGGATTCATTAAGCCCCACCCTCTTTCTGATGGTGAGCATGGTAGAACCCTGTCTCAGGACGTTTAAAACCTTTATCTAAGCCAACTGATTGATTAGCTTCAGTATAGGAGAAAATTATGTTATTCAATTATATTTATAAATAAATTGAGTTTATAAATTATTAAATAGCTGATTTATCCTAAGCATTATCCCAGCATTATCCATTATATTCTAAGTATAACCCCTGCATATGGGGCACAAATAACATCATATCTTTGATTTTTTGTTTTGGTTATTTGGGTTTTGCCAGTGTCATTTTGGGTTTTGCAAAGCACATTTTCTTTGGTTGTGGGAGGCCCCATGTCAGAGTTTAACAGAAAATCTTACTTTCTCTAGGAAGTAGTTGTTAAACCATTCTCCTTAGATTTCTTTGAGGAGTTTCTTATGCCTAAGGAAGAGAAATCTCTTTCACCAGAGGGTAGATAAAAAGGACTTCTCAGACATTCTTTTGTTTCTGTCCATTGGGTTGCTGTAATGTTGCAATTAGAAGTAGTCCTACAATCTGGTAATGATTAACTTCACTACCAGGTTGTTCTGACTGATCCAGATCCCTGAGTCTTCATGGTGTTATAAGCTTAGACTTAAAAGTTACAACATATTTTCCTTCTAAGTATCCGTATGGTTATCACCTCATCTATTGTTTCCCAGTTGGCACTCTGCTTTGGTAGCTGGATCTCCTAGCTTTGGTCACCCCAGGGTGAACATGCCAATCCTGCCCTCCCACTCAAAACCTTATGTGCAGTCCACATGCTAGCCCAGACCTTTATGATGAGTGGTCCTTTGAGGGTTTTGTTTGTCTTTTTGGATCATTCAAAATAATCCAACAGTCTCAAATAATGTTATAGGAAAAGTTCAGAGTTCCCTTTTATCTCTTCTAACTGATCTGTAGCCCAAAGCCCCATTATATCTTATAAAGCACATTTTCTTTGGTTGTGGGAGGCCCCATGTCAGTGATTCCCAGGAAGGATGCTAATTCTAATTGGTACCTTAAGTGATTTTTTTTTCCCATGGCAATAAAAATTTTCCATGCTGCTTTCATGTCTGCTTCATATTTCAGAACATTACAAGTTCTTTCTCACAAATAAGACATTAAGCAGCATTCTCAAAAACTAAAGTAAATTCATTGAACCTAGAGCTAAGCCTCATCATGATTTGTCAGTATTCATGTGTAAAAGAGTGTTTTGTGTTTCAAGTTAGCTAGAGATCAGTGTGGAAATTAAGCTTCAATCTGAATAAAGATCTACTGGTTCCATTTGATTAGGTAGAAAAGGAATAGTAATAATCCAAGCTAACTGATTGATTAGTTTCAGTATAAGGAGAAAATTATGTTATTCAATTATATTTATAAATAAATTGAGTTATAAATTATTAAATAGCTGATTTATCCTAAACAATAAAGCACAAGAATAGTATATTCAATGACCCAAATTAGGACTCATTAGCATTTGTTAATAATTGCAATATTTGATCATTAGAACCTGTGAAAAAACTGAGATTGGATTTTTACTTGAGTTTCAGAGTTCAACATTAATGTACAAATCATTCCATTACTTTACTATTTCTCTCAGCATTGTTTATATTATCTCACTAAATCTTCATAGCAACCTGGTGACCTAAAGCAGTACAATCCTTATTTTTTAGAAGGAGACTTTGAGCCTAAGAGCAATGACTTGTGTCAAAACACAAAGCTATTGTTGACAGAGAGAGGACATCTTCTGAGTTCAGAATGCTTTCCTTATGTCAAGCTAATATAGTTAATGTTTGAGCAGGTGAAATGAAAGTGAATTATAAATGTGAACATTCATTTCACCTTACTTTGTTTCTCTTTGATTACAACTTATGGATGCAGTCTTTGGGATGCTGAGGCAGGAGGGTCGCATGAGCCCAGGATTTGAAGACTAGCCTGGGCAATGTGGTAAAACCTCATCTCTAAAACAAAACATAATAAACACCCCCTTCCCCAAACAACCTAAAAATAACTGCAAGGTTAACACCATGCATAGAGAACTTGCACATTTGAAATATGTGGGGTTAAGTACTGATATTAGTTCTGATGCTATCTATAATACTCTTCACAATTTATATTTGGTTAGTGTTTCTCACATCAGTCTTAAGATACTAATTTTATTCTTTTTTTGTACATTGTAATAGGAAAATAATTCTGGCACATACAAGAGCAGTATTTAATGACATGCAAGCCAGGAAAGCAGGTAAAACTTCTGATAGTGAATTACCCTTAGTGTTCCTACCCTACATAGAAAAGTAAGAGTAAGAAAGTGCCATCATAAAGGAGTGGCATCAGATCAATGTGTATATGACATTCATAGTTTACTTAATTTCCTTTTTAATAGCCTATAATTTAGAATTCTTTAAGAAATGGTAAAGAATTTATAATTTCAAACAATGTTTTCTGAAAAAGATTTCATTATTTGGTCTCAGAAATCGTACTTGTCTTTGTATAACTCATATTTTAAAATTAGTATGTTGTGTAATTCTTCTAAAGTGACATTACAGTAAATTGGGCTTGTTATAAAACTGGATACTTTTTTAGTATAATTATTGACTCCTGTTTTTGGCACTAACGAGTGGATTTCACTGTGACATTTCCACACACGGATATCATATTTGAATCCTCTCTATCCTCCCTACGTTCCCTTCTCTGTTTCTCCCCGGTCTTTTTCCTCATCCCTATAGTCACTTCTATTTTCAGAGCATCCTTTTATTTATTTATTTTCCAGGCTATACATGTGAGGGAAACACAGGATACTTGCCTTTCTGGTTTACTCTGCTTAACAGGATAATTTCCCTTGTATATTCCAGTTTTGTTCCCCCCTGCAGGGCTTGAAATAATCATTGTATACTTATCTGGTTTTTAAAGTTTCAGTTTAAAAATGTACTGTACTTCTGATAGCTTTGCCTGTATAATGGGTTCAACCATTCTCTCTTGTAGCTTTCAGTATTCTTTCTGGTTTTGTATTTTTGACAATTTTATATAATAATATGATGTGGAGAGTTTCTTTTCTGGTCAGGTCCACTTGGGGTTCTAAACACTTTCTGTACCTGGGTGTCTATATATTTCCCACGATATGGTGCATTTTCTGGTATTATTTCACAGAATAAGTTTGCTATGCCTACAGCCTGTACCTTTGCTCCTTTTATGTACCCTTGATTCACAGTGCATTAATTGCCTATCAGTAGTATAATTGATAGCCAGTGTAGAATAGTTTTCAGGAATGGTCTGAAAGAATTGCTTTATAAGAAAGCATGATTCATGAATTTCTACTATTTATGTTTTGTATTGTTGATAACATATTTATTTTACCATTTGCTTTTATAGTGGGTGATGACTCTTCAACCAGGTATGTTTTTGTTTTTGTTTTTTGGTGGTGCTGGGGATTGAACCCAGGGCCTTTGTGCATGCAAGGCAAGTACTCTACCAAATGAGCTATATCCCCAGCCCTCAACCAGGTAGGATTTTACCAGTTAAAAAAGAAAAATAATGACCTCATAAGCTAATGAGGGAATGCAGACAGAAAGAAATGAAAATTGTTGGATGTTCTAGTCTGAGCCAGACACCATAATATGTGCTTAGCACTTCATCACACCACCTTTGAAAGTTATCTGTGCTATTATAACCTATTAATTACTAATTAAGCACCAGTCATTCAAAAAAGTTGACTAATGGGCCCCTGATCTTATAATCTTATAGCTGGCCTCAAATTTGATCATCAGCCTGTCTGGATGATAAATTCATTCTATTGCCCTTTTCCATAGATTGATAGGGACCTGTATGACACAAAGGATCAAGATTCAGGTCCATAGCAGATGAATTCATAAGTTCAAATTTATTTGTCTGTTAATGCTTAAATCAGGCATTTTCTAAAAAACCTGTTTGTACTTGAATTTGTGCTAATATTTTTAAAACTTGCACCAGTAAGTGTTGTACCTTTTGTTTAGTATTGGGGATTGAACTCGGGGGCACTTGATCACTGAGTCACATCCCCAGCCCTAATTTCAATTTTATTTAGAGACAGGGTCTCACTGAGTTGTTTAGCACCTCACTTTTGCTGAGGCTGGGTTTGAACTCATGATCTTCTGTGTCAGCCTCCAGAGCTGCTAGGATTACAGGCTTGCACCACTACACCCAGCAAATGGTAACTTTTTAACTTCAAACGTTTTAGGGCAAATCTCACATACCAGTGGTCATAGGACCATGGGTTTTACACAAGCAGAGTCAGGCAATTGGGCTGGAGTTGTGGCTCAGAGGTAGAGCACTCACCTACCATGTGTGAAGTCCTGGGTTCGGTCCTCAGCACCACATATGAATAAAATAAAGATTTTTTTTTAAGTCAGGAAATTACTGATGAGGAATTGTTTTCCTGGAAGTGAAGAATACATATGACCTGTCTGTGATATATAAACAATTATTAATTGTTAATAATGATTACTATTAATATTAACAATATATAGTTATTAATTACATTAATCTTCCTCAATAATTATTTAGAGAATAGTTTAATAGATTTATCTAGTTCTTGATTTCACAGTTGATTGTCACATCAAGC